CTAATGGTGTGTCGTTTAGTCTAATGATTGTCTTGGAAAGATTGAGAACAATTTGACTAAGTTTAATCTTGGCACAAATAATTCATCTAATGTTGCCATTACACATTTAACGACTCTCTATAACCTTCAAATTATATTACTTAAATAAATTAACTACAGATATGTTATGTAATCACTAGTATTTTTTATCTTCTTGTACTCGGCAAAATTTATCCTCTTTTCCTAGATTACCTATGGAGGTCCCCATTAATTAAATAAACCTTTCGCTTTATTCCAGTAAACTATTTAGAATTTGGTGTGGTTTACCTAAAAACAAAGTCAGGTTATGGAAGAAAGATGAAAATATTGATCATTCTAGACATATAGCCACAAATGAACAAGTAAATGGAAAACGTGTATTTTGATGTTATGTCAAAATGTTACGAAAGTGATGCATGATGGTGGGTGGAGGAAACTAATAGTTTCAAAGGGAATGAGTAGATATTTTGATAAACATGTTATGTGAGAGTTTGAGCTGCCTATATTGTTGATTGCTATTGCATTGAAAGGTTGTGGTAATAGGATAATAGCAAAACTAAAGTGAAGGGGGCTTCTTGATGGAGCGATCTTTCTCTACATAAGAGTATATCAATAATTGGAAGCAGTGATAACGAAAGATATTCATACTACGGATCTTATATAGTACCAATAAGTACTTAGTTCCTTACCGTATTTATTTCTTACATATCTAGATATCTTATTTGCAGCAACAAATTATCATAATTTATGCATTGGCTTTCCACTATGCATTGGTCTATAATAAAACGAGTCTTGCGATATCTAAAAAGCTCTCGGTCATAAGATTTTTTTTCATAAACACTCATTACTTCATCTTTATGCCTTCATCGATACTGATTAGGCAAACAACATTGATGATAGTTAATCTACATCAGTCTACATTATCTTCTTTAGAGCAAATCCAATCAATTATAGTTTCAAGAAATAAAAAATAATTATAAGATCTACCACTAAAGTTTAATACTGAACCATCGCTAATATTGCTGTAGAACTCAACTAGGTCATCAATCGACTACAGAAACTTGACATCACTTTCCAATCTACTCCTACAATATACTATGATAATGTCAATACCACCTACCTATGTACCAATCCATTATTTGACTCATATATGAAATACATTATTATCGACTTCCACCTTGTAAAAGATCAAGTTATCAGATATCAATTATATGTTTCTTATATATATACTTTCAAGTAATAAACTCTCTCATAAAACCTCTCACTCGTACAATATTTCAATTACATCGTTGTAAGATTGACATTATTGATAAAAACTTAATTTTACGAAGGTTATGATAAAAGATCATGAAGATAATGACATCCTTATATTCCTTGTGTCCTCAAATCAATTAATGATTTAAGAATCAATCATAAATTTGAGTACTTCATCTAATTGCATGATTTGAATATATAATTAAATAAAATCTATTACTCAAAATTTATATAAATATTTATTATCTTAATAAATAAAACAGATTCTTTTCGTAATATATTTCTCAATTGAAAAATGATGCATTGCTTCGACAACTATGTCTAGGTAATTTCATAGTTAGCATCTCAACGTCATGACTCATATTTGATGGATCAAAGAAGTTGGAGACTTTTTTTTATTGGATAAGAGATTGATTTTAATTAATTTGAAATCGTCGCTCAGAGAAAGTCAAAATTTTGAATTGACCGAGTGATAATCTAAGAGAGAAAAGTCAAAGTGTGATCGGTGATGGCCAATTTGTCTGACGGATAGCGCTGCCTTCAAAATTTGTCTGAAACTTAGGACTAGTGATTGGTGATGGCCAGGCGGATGAGGAAGGCCTCGGCGCTTCTCTACCTTCTCACTGCTTCTATCCTCTGTTCCCCCACCATTGGAGACGACACTGTCACACCCGCCCGACCTCTCGTCGACGACGGAGGAACCACCTTAATTTCCGCTAGTGGCAGCTTCGAGTTGGGCTTCTTTAGCCCCGCAGGTTCCAGCAACCGCTATATCGGCATATGGTACCACCGCATCCCGGTCCAGACTGTGGTGTGGGTTGCCAACCGCCAGCGGCCGGTCACCGGCAGTTCCGGAAAGCTGTCCTTGGAGACGGACGGAGCACTCGTGATCACCGATGGCAAGAACTCCACCGTCATCTGGTCCTCGGGCTCGCTGGTCCTTGGGAACCCAGTGGCGCGGCTCCTCGACAACGGGAACTTCGTCGTGGAGGAGGAGGGCAGTGACGACGACCAGAGCAGCTTTGCTTGGCAGAGCTTCGACTTCCTGACGGACACGCTTCTGCCGGGCATGAAGATCGGGTGGAACCTAACGAGCGGGCTGGACCGCAACCTCACGGCTTGGAGGAGCGTCAGCGATCCGGCGCCGGGCGTGTATGCCAACGGCATCGACAAGAACGGGAATCCCCAAATATTTCTGTGGTCCAGGAGCCATCCGTACTGGCGTGGGGGGTCATGGAACGGCCGCCAGTTCGGTGGCGTCCAACAGATGATGACCGGCAACGTGTTCGACAAGAAGTTCGTGGTGGACGCTCGCGAGATCGTGTACTCGTTCTACATGCGCGACCCCTCGGTCGTCTCAAGGCTGGTCATGAACCAGTCGGGCATCCTGCAGCGCCTCGTGTGGCACGAAGACAGCCAGATGTGGAGCGTCTTCTGGTCCGCGCCCCAGGACCAGTGCGACTACAGGTTGTCGCCCTGCGGCCCCTACGGCGTCTGCTATCCCAACGAATTCGCGATGTGCAAGTGCTTGCAGGGGTTTCACCCCAAGAATCCCAGCAGATGGAGTCAGAGGGATGGGACGGATGGATGCGTGAGGAACACGGCGTTGGACTGCCGGAACGGGACCGATGGGTTTATCACACTCAGCAGCGTGAAGATACCGGACACGTCGACGTCGATGGTGGTCAGGAGCATGAGCCTGGAGGAGTGCGAGGTTTTGTGCCGGAGGAACTGCTCCTGCAAAGCCTATGCCAGCGCCAACATCAGTGGGACCGGGAGCGGCAGCGGGTGCATCATATGGACGACGGAGCTCACCGATATCAAAATGTACGACAGTGGTTCAGGCCAAGATATCTATGTCAGGCTGGCGGCTGCCGACCTTGGTACGTTCGATCACTTATCATGGTAGTCTGCGTGAGGAACTGATCTGTTTTTGACTTAACGAGATGACGTTTATCTTTCAGGCTCTGAATCAAACCAGTCTCACCGGAATCATGTGGTCGTGATCATCATCGTAGTCTCTGCTCTGGCAACCTTTATCCTGCTTTCTGTTGCTTGCTTCGTTTGGAAAAGGAAGAAGAGAAGAAGTACCATCAACGCTTGTCATCTCCTTCTACTTAATTT